TAGAGAATGAAATTATTCAAACTATGAAATTACGTGTGCCGTGTGCAAAGAGAATCATGATTAAAATACAAAGGATACGTTTTTCTGATTGCGACAGTGATGATGTGTGCCGTGTTCAAAGAGAATCATGATTAGAAGAGTAATAATATTTGTTTATATTCTTTTCTTAAGAGAAATTTATCTCTAATTATATATATAGGGTTATTTTAGGCACTAAAAGCATGGTGCAATCTTTTGTTAGTCTCATGGCACTAAAAGCACTTTCTGATATCACATGAGTCGGACAATACTGACATGCCTTGACCTCGATGTTCAAGTGGACATCGAGATTGAGTCATGCTAGTCGACACCTGTAAAGTGACACAAGCCAAACATGCATAAATAGTGTAAAACTTAATTTATAATTGGGATCGACTGAAATTTTGGTAGAACACCCCCCTAAAATTTCATTATAGACCAACCTGCAAATGGTGCAACTTTATCTATCAACAAACTTCCCCAAAGGGCCACACCTAGTAGTTCTCAAACCCTCCACTACATGCATGCAAACTGTTCGGAACATAAACACAAAATGCAAGCGAAAGTTAAAATATTTAACTGAAATCTATAATCATGCGTAGGTGGAACAACTAATATAAATGTTCCACATAAAGCGAAGTCACAATTTTGGGCTCAAAGCTGCCAGCTAAATCCTCGACATTGATCCGATTACTGCTTCCAAGTCCTAAAGGGAGCACAAAACATAAAAATGTAAGTGAAAGAAAAAATAAAGTTTTCTAAAACTATTTTATTTTCTAAACATACTAACCCCCTGTTTTGAAAACACATATAATACCACATATAATTCCTGAAAACCTAAGCATGCAATAAAAATTGAAAACTAATATATACCTGTATACATTGACAGATGATACACACGCGCCCACACACACTAAGGTGATACTTTTAGGTGGCATGGCATACAATATCATCCACTAGACATAACTAGTGGAAGCTAGATAATATAATCATGTCATTGCCGAGTAATCTCGGGGCAATGACAAGCTGAGAATCTAAATGTGTAATCATGTCATTACTGAGTAATCTCAAAGTAATGACAAGTTGAGAGTATAAATGTATAATCATGTCATTACTAAATAATCTAGTGACAAGTTGAGTGTATAATTGTATAATCATGTCATTACCAAGTAACCTTAAGGTAATGACAAGCTGAGAGTATAATTAGTACCCCAATATACATGAAAACTACTATATAATCAGCCACTAGCTTTAGCTAGTGGAAGCTGGATATATAATCATGTCATTACTGAGTAATCTCAAGGCAATGACAAGTTGGAAGGACATGTCCACATTGTGGACAAGCTGAAAATACTCATACACGTGCAAGCCATGGACGTAGTACAATACTCTAAAGGGAAAATTAGGTTCACATCATTCTTTTTGTTACTCCATTGATTAAAATCCTATTCATTTTCAATTCTTGATCAAGGTCCTTGGGTATTAATAACATCATTAATTATTTGAATAATAAAATATTTTTATTTTTAAATATATTCCTTTAATGGTAAAAATGTTACAATTAGTATATTTATATTTATGGATAAATTTTTTATCATATATTTTTATTTTTAGTTTGTACCTATTTTTAATTTGCAAATATTTTTTAATTTGTACCAATTTTCTTTTCATTTTTAATTTGTACCCATATATTAGTTTCTTTTTGTGCCATATTTTTTAAAGTTTTATTTGTGTTTGTACCCATGTGTATACCGTCATGTGACATTTAATCAATGATAGAAAAATTACATATGGTAAATTTATGTTTTATGCCTAAACTTTGTATCATATATTTATATTTTTAGTTTGTACCCACTTTTAATTTGAAACATTTTTTTTAATTTGTAGTATTTTCTTTTTAGTTTTATTTTGTTCCCATGTATTAATTTCTTTTAGCGCCTATATTTTTAAAAATTCATTTGTATTCATAATTTTTAATCTTTTATCTATACCCTAATTTATTTCTAATGTACCCATTCTTCTTTATTAATGTACCACTTTGTTATATGTGAAATGTACCAATTTGTTTGTAAAATGTACCAATTTTTTTAACACTATGGATACATTCTTTTGCCATTTATTATTTATTATTTTTACATAGTTTTTAAGGAAAACTAATGAAAATGGCTTGAAAACTTTGAGTTTTAATGATAAGGACAAAATAAAGGGTAAAGTGAATAGTAGCAGGATTGACTTTTTAGTGTAAAAATGTGGTTTTTCGTTAAAGTGAACAGTACCGGGTGCTTTTCGTTAAAGTTCCCTAGTTTTTATCCATTTATTCAATCAAAATGTTTGAATTTTTTTATTGTAACCATTTCTAATAGTATTATAATGAGGGATTTTAAATTTATAGGATTATAAATTTCATAAAATATCAAACAATTAATGTCAAAACTATAAAACTATAAATATTAATAGTAATATAATGAGGTGTACAAAGTCAAGGGACCTTGATCAAACTTTGAATATTATTAAGATTTTAATCAAAGAATGTTAAGAATTAGGTGCCACATCCAAAGTATCCCTACTATAAATTTGTATGAGTGTTACATGCCACAAAATAAGTAATAAATAATCCAACGTTCATAAAATCATCATCGTCATAAATCATGAAATATATATCATAAATCATAAACCTATATATCTCGTAAATCATAAATCAAAATTTTGAGATATATCATGAAATCGGTGAAACGTTAAAATATAATTGAAGTTCATTTTTTTCTAGGCATGCTTAGAATGTAGATAAATAAAACATTTCTGAAATAAAAGTCTACTCACAAGGAGTTTTATATTTTCAGAAAAAAGTTTATTTTAGCTTTGAGCTACCTCTTGTGTTCTTCATTGAAACTTTAGCCTCAAAACCATGTTCATGCATCAAACACCCAATCATTGCATATTAGGATGGCATTGTCTTCATGGTTTTATTTTAATTTTGTGGTCAAGTTTTACAAGTTTCAAATCTTTAACTGAACTCTTTTTGGATTTGCGTCAGTTTCATCTTTCAAGTGTTTGATTGGTGAAACTGACTAGACATCGAATCCAGATCGATTTGCATCAACTTCATCATAACATCATTTGCATAAGTTGATTTCATTTCAGTGCCACAAGATGAAGAGCTCAAAAGAAGCTGTCACTTCGTGAAGACCGAATGAGTTCATCTCATGTAAGGCAAGATTGTAGAAAGTAAAGTTGCTTCATAAATAGGAATTTAGGAATTGAGCTTTGCATGGTACTTTGTAAGAATCTTGTTGACACTAGTGGATTGGACTCAATGGAAAGTCCCTGGTTTTTTAACCCAAAGGTGGGTTTTTCCAACAAAAAACTTCTTGCACTCTTTGTCTCTTAAACTTGTCCACATATCTTATTTACTTACATATGCTTCATGCATCCTATGAATTGTTATCTGATATGTGTTAGAGACTAAGTTTGCACTGCATATTATGAGCAATGAATTGGACAATTGTTGACTAGGATAACTTGTAGTGAACTAAGTTTGATTTATAGATTTGCGTTTGATTAACTAACGAATCTGTACTTCGTTGATTGGTGACCTTGACTAGTCAATCCAGCATACTTTGCATGATGAATTGATATGTAAATGTGTTCAAGTTTAGGAATCATTGTTGTGAAACTAATCTGGGAAGACTCTGATTAGTTGAACATATTGGTCAGTTAGGTTTCGTTCTTGTAACTACACTTTTTATCACTGATTAACTTGTAACTAGTTGACTAGCTCATTTGACTAGTCTACTATGCAAAGTTCAGTTTTTATTTGCAAGATATTCTGCCTAGTACCCAATTTCATTATCCAAATTGTTAAGTTCATTTATAAATCTTTTACATCAAAATAAAAACCATTAAGTAGGTTATTTCGCTTGTGTAGGTTGGGAAATTAGGAAGTTGATTTCAGATACAAAGTCCGTAGGGACGTGGGCTTTCATGACTGGGGAAGAAGACTTGTGATACTAATATTCGGCTTCTCTCACTTTTTTTGTTCAGTTTCTTATTTAATTTTACATTTTTAAATTGATTTTTTAAAGTTCCTTACATTTTCCAAATATTAAATAAATTCATAAAGTGATGTGGCAACAAGGTTCTAAAAAACGCTATGTGCTATCAGGCGGCGGGTTGGGGCTTAGCGCCTAGGCGCCTAGGCAGGGTTTAGACGGGTGCCTAGGTGTGAAGCTTTGCTGGGAGTGGCTTGGCTAAGAACATTGGGAGACATTGTCTAGAACTTTGATAAAATCCCTCTTGCCAGTCCTCGTCTCCTTGACTGGTCGGGTACTAATGGTACACAGAAGTCATGGGTGATCATTGGTTCGATGCTTCAGGCAAAACCAACTCCTAGGGTGTGACATGCCGTGTGTACAAGGCCTGGGTACATATTCGCCACGGCATGCTGATCTGCAATTACTACCGATTCCAACTTCATGTTCCCGAGTTGCAAAGAACAACTAGGCAAATTTAAGTAAATATATTATATTTCATGTAAATAAGTGTCTGCTTATACTTAAAATATGTATAATTTCATCATAAACTACAAAATAGAATGACATATATATTATGAAGTACTAGAACATAATGAAAACATGGGGAACAAAGATATAATGTGTGTTCATTTAAGTATGCAACAAGTCTCTTACAATTTTTCGAAAAAAATAAAATACAAAATGAAAGTTATCTATTTCCTGTCTAAGTGAGTCTGACCTAGGCAGATTTGGACGAGCTAGGCGGGCGCTTAGGCAGTCTAGGCGGGCACCTCAGTAGGTCTGGACACCCTTTCTTAATTTTCAAATGCCTAGGCATTAATCGGGGCAGTGGTTAGCCGCCTAGCGCCTAGGTAGGGCCTAGATAGCGCTAGGCGGAGATTTTTAGAACAGTATGTGGCAGGCATGTAACTCCACCAGTGCACATCACAAACTTAACAGTTTCCTAAACCATTATTTTTTCAGACAAGGGACAACAGGAACAGTTGCATTGGAGGTTCCATTCACATTGATGCAAAAGGCATGAACCTCCTTCCCAGCAACTGCAGAAGTATTGTTAATTTGGTCCATAACAATATTAATACAACCTGGAGGCTCAGAGCAATCAAATTTAATGGCTTCTTCAGTTTCAGAAGTTCTTTGAAAATCACTGTATGAGACATCAGTCTCACTAACTGCCGAAGTCTGTCATTTATCAAAACAATTCACAAACATATTGTTAGTACTTCATCAATTAAATTTGATTTTGCTAATCAAATACATAAACATACGTAATTTTTGCAATCATGTCCACCATTACAATAATGTTGGTCAATGATAATCGGATTTTTGGCTGCTACTAGTTTGATTTGCTTAAAAGATATATTCTTCGCATATCCATAACCGCCCTAGAAAAAAAAAACAAAAATAAATGAATAGATGTAAAAAATAAAATTTGGATGTTAGAAATTTGAGTAGTTTGAGTAGAAATTTCCTTGTCCCACATTGGCCATTCCCAAAAGATTTTATCACTTTATAAGGTTTTGTCCTTTAAAGAAAGTGATTGGAGTAATAGGTCTGGAGACTAAAATTGGGCTCACCCTTGGGGTTGGGCTTTGGGGTGTAATAATTAATTATAATTAATATATAATTAATATATATTTAATTGTCAAAAGATGGGCCTTGGGCCTTGGGGCTCTAATAATTAAATTATTTAATTAATTATTTTTCGGATTTACTTAATTATTTTTTAATTAAATTCGAATTTAATTAATTAATTATTTTTATGAAAAGACTCATCCTTTCAGATGAAGTCTGAGAGTTCTTTCTGAACACAGAGCAAAGCACCCTTCTAAAGAGATGTCTCCCAACAGTCACACCCCATTCTCATACCTGTTGCAAGCAGGCATCTATCTGCTATATATACATACATCTGCATAGCATTTAGTACACAAAAATAATAAACTTCATCTTCTACATTCATAAACCTTCTTACTGAGAGAACCACACTAAATTCGCCAGAAGTTAAATTTTCCGGTGCTGGAATTTTAACTTGATCGTTGAATCCTGGTGAAGCAGACGTCCGTAGAACTACAAGCACAGAGTAAGGACATTGCAGTACGCAAGCCTCGATCTTCAAGTTGTCTGTATTATAATTCATATTCTAGTTTATATTCTGTTAGTTTCTATTGCATTTATTATTTATTAGCATATATAAATTATCACAGATTGTTGACAGATAACCAACAATATGGAATGTGACTTTAGATATAAAGAGCAAATCCCTTAACCACGAATTACGTAATACCTGCCATGTCACTACTACAAAATTATCTATAACTGTCCAAAAACCGACAAAAAACGTATATTACTGTCGGATTTTAAGCAAAATCTAATAGAAAATGGATGCATTGATGGATATAATAAGCGACAGATTTGCCAGGGTTAGGAAATGAATTTTCTGACATAAAATACTCTAAAACCGACATAAATTGTGTCGGATATATATTTATAATAAATAAATAAGAGAATTTCTGTTGGATAAAACGGACAAAAAATACTAAAACCGCCAGAACTTCTGTCGGTTATAACTGACAGACAATTTAGTAATAAGAATAAATAAAAGCATTCTTGTCGGATAAAACCGACATAAAATATATTAATAATATAAAAAAATATAAACCACTTTCTACATTTTCCATATCCTTCCATATTCACTGCATTCACTGCACTTTCTGCATTTTCAACCTATTTGACAACATGTTTCAAATCCTTCCATATTCACTGCATTCACTGCACTTTCTGCATTTTCCATATTCAACCTATTTCAAATCCTTCCTCTGTGATGACAACATGTTTGACAGGGGAACAATTTGTATGGACTATTTATCTTAAACAACATCCATTATTGTTTGCTTATTACAGTTATCTTAAATAAATATGCTTGAACTCATGTCTAGCACACGCATATACCTTGAGCATCAATTTTCCTTTGCTTCCTCCTATACTAACCATTTTGAGCGACAACATCCGCTTGTAGCACCACCATCAACAGCATCTAACCCACTGAAACAAACAACATAAAATTATTCAAGTTTTCAATCACCTCTCAGCCGAGTAACTACTAACTACTAACAAATTTTAGCAAGTTTAAATTCGTACCCACAGTTCCCCATATGAGAGACACACACAGAGAGACAGAGGGAGGGAGGGAGGGAGGGAGGGAGAGAGAGAGAGAGAGAGAGAGAGAGAGAGTTACCTTCTTCTTGTCCGACAACGGTAAGAATTGGAGTCATCGGAGCGCTACGCCATATTCGAGATAGCTAAAGCTAGGGTTTCTGAACTTTGGTTGCAAGTGTTGAATTGGAAGTAAATGAGGAGAGGAGATGGAGAAGGAAATGAGGAGAGGAGAAAAGGAGGAAGGGAGAAGGCACCGGCACAAGGAAGAGATGGAGGGGTTTTATTCTGGAAAATTTCATTATTGTCGGATAAAACCGACAAAAACATTTTCATTATTATCGGTTAGCAAAAAAAGGCGGCAAAAATCCCCACAACATTCCCTCCCAAAATTTTAAATTCCCTCCCAAAATTTTTATCCCCCCCCCCCAAAAATTTTGTTATGATTTTAAAAAATAAAATAATAATTGTTTGGTTAAATAAATAAATAATATGTATTTAAATAGAATACATTTTTAAAAATTAAATAAATAATTGTTTGGTTTAATAGATAATAACCCATGTAAAATATGCATGTAAAATATGCAATAAAGAAACAAAAAGATAATTGTACAATGAAAATGTCATCACACAAACTAAATATTGTCTAATCAATACTTGAAAAACATAAATAAAAATTTAGCACAAATTACTTTTCCCACTTAAAAATTTAGGCAAATTTAACAGAGATATGCATTCTACAAAACTAGTTTCAATAATCGAACCGTCAAACTTGTTTGTAGTTATTACAAGATCGCATACCTAAAATCGTAAAAAACAAACATTCAGAGATTACGTAACGGAACAAAAGTTTTTTACGGTTATAAACGAAAAATCACAATTTAACGGTTATTTTAGCTCCAATTTTATTGATTTTTTACAGCTACACACCTCAACCCTATAAGAATGCAATGAATAAATTTGATCTTCAATTTAAAATATTTACACTAGTGGATACTACAAAATCTTATTTTATACTTAATGGAAGTATAAATTTTATTGATAAATTTTTGTTTATTTAATCTATTGTTTTCTCTATGAATGCGAACTTAACTCTTAAATGTTTATTTAATCTATTGTTTTGACGCGATACACATTCTATGAAACTTTTTTCAATTATCTAACCGTCAAACTTGTTTGTATACACTCTGAGATCATATACGTAAAAAATCACAAAAAACAAACATTCAGAGATTGGGTAACAGAACAAAAGTTTTCGACCGTTATAAACGAAAAATCACAATTTAACGGTTATTTTAGCTTCCATTTTGATGATTTTTTACAGCTAAACTCCTCGACCCTATAAGAATGCATTGAACGAATTCGATCTTCAATTTGTTAATATTTACAATATTAACTCTAAGTGTTTGTTTAATCTACCGTTTTGATGCGATATGCATTCTACGAAACTTTTTTCAACGATCCAACTGTTAAAATTATTTGTACACACTCCGAGATTGCATACGTAAAAAATTGTAAAAAAACAAACATTCAGAGATTACGTAACGGAACAAAAGTTTCCAACGGTTATAAACGAAAAATCACAATTTAACGGTTATTTTAGCTCCAATTTTAATGATTTTTTACAACTACACACATCGACCCTATAAGAATGCAATGAATAAATTTGATCTTCAATTTAAAATATTTACACTAGTGGATACCACAAAATCTTATTTTATACTTAATAGAAGTATAACATTAACTCTTAAGTGTTTATTTAATCTACCGTTCTGACGTGATACACATTCTATGAAGCATTTTTCAATGATCTAAGCATCAAACTTGCTTGTACACACTTCGAGATCGCATACGTAAAAAATCACAAAAAACAAACATTCAGAGATTAGGTAACAGACAAATGTTTTCAACGGTTATAAATGAAAATCACAATTTCAAGGTTATTTTAGCTCCGATTTTGAAGATTTTTTACAGCTAGACTCCTCGACCCTATAAGAATGCAATGAATGAATTCGATCTTCAATTTAAAATATTTACACTAGTGGATAAAACTTATTTGATACTTAATGGAAGTATAACATTAACTCTTAAGTGTTTGTTAAATCTATCAATTCAATAGGATATGCATTCTACGAAACTAGTTTCAACGATTCAACCGTCAGATATGTTTGTATATACTTAAAATAAAAAAAATTTCTTTTATGTCGGCTATAACCGTCAGAATACTAAAATAATAACCGTCAGAAAGTAAAATAATAAAATAGTCAATTTTTGTCGGTTATAATTGCCGCCATTAACTTAAAAACCGCTAGAATCTTCAAAAATATTTATATAAAAAAAAAAGATTTGAAAATACTGTCAATTATAACCGATAGGATTTTTTTGATATCCGCCATTAAATATCCGCCAAGACTTTATGTCGGATATAACTGACAAGATTTTTCTAATATCCGCCACCATCATCCACCACCTAAAGCTAATATTGTAGTAGTGTGTCTTAATTCTAGCTCCATTTTGTGTGCCATTAAAAGTACAATTTCTTACATGAATCGCTTCTGCTGTGTCGTAAGCTCCATGTTCACCTAAACTTCCCACACTATATCTGTATTGATGGAGTTGGAAATTTAGCACAGTTTATGAGAGTATTTCTTGGTAATAAATATACATAAGAGCAATGTACTAACCTAATTCCATGACCTGGTCCGCATGCAATGTTGGTGATATTTATATAAGACGAGCCATTAATAATTGTAATACAATCATCACCTATTGCAAAATCCCCCAAAAATATATTAATAATTATGAAATTACATAACAAATCATTGAGAGCAACTAGCTAGTTGTCTAGTGGGATCATTCTCAAATTGAAAGAGTTTGAAGTTTGAATTTGGAATTTGATAAATAAAAGAGAATTGTTATTGATACTCTAAAAATTTCATTTTACACTCCAAACTTTCTATAACTAAAAATAAAAATATACTTGTGAGGAGTGTTGAATGAGATTTTTAAAGTGCTAATAATAATTTCTAAATAAAGAACTAAAACAAAATTTGAGGATAACGATATTGCTAAAAGTGAAACAAAATAAGATTGATATACGGATTTTTACGGGTTCCAACTACGGAGTCATGAATATTGACATAGCATGACACAGAGATGTCAATTCCATCTGTGTTGGGACTATTTTCCGGTGCAATAATATGAAGATTAGAGATAGTAATATGTTTGCACTTGTTAATACTATATGTACCTTTGGACTGTCACGGTGTGTAAGTCCACTCAATTGAAGATTGTCACATTGGTTACAGTGCAGAGCCTGCAACAATTATTCATAATTAAAATTTTCGAATTCGACATTAATTTGTTAACAAATTAATTTCATGCTAGGAGAAGAAATGTCACCCTTGGTCGTTTACACCTGACCTTGTTCACCTGGAAATTAATGAGTGATAATTCTATGTTATACTTGAGCAACTGATTTACTTTCTCTTCTGCACACTTTTGTACTTAATTATTTCGAGATTTTATTTTTATCATACAATAAGAAAAAAAATAAACATGCATGCGTGAAAAAAAATAAGTGTGTTAAAACTACTTCTGCTAAATTATAAAAGATGTAAGAGCACATAAATCAAATTATCAATGTTAAGAAATTTACATTTAAATTGTAATTTAAGTAGGGTAGCGTTGCTCCACCATGGCGAACCCTGCCCATTGATTTCTCCGGTTCCATTGATGATGAGGTTGGTCACTTTTAAAAATGTTAGCCATGATTCGCTGCCGCACTCTTTCCATGCATCCAGATTGCTAGGTGCCACAATTTTTCCCAAAATCTGAAATCCACGCAACTCAATAAAGTAATTAATCAAGCCTAATGCATACTTGAGGAATATACATAACGAAGCAAAACGCATGAATTAAATTCTGGTAATATTTCTATGGCTAGTTACCTGGACATGGACAGAGCTAGATTTGCAAGGGCCTGAGAATTTGGTAGGTTGTAAAAGGAATGTTTTATTCGCTGGTATTTCAAGTGTTGATGATATCCCTTGCGTTTGTACGCATGAAACATTCCATGCTTTCAAGAAAGCTTTTCATGCAAATATATATAGTTAGCAAATTGCTTGTTAATGAGAAAAAAAATGACAAATTTAAGAAAGCAAAAAACAGTTAATGAAAATAAACGCATGTACGCACATAAACGAGCGTAGACAGATGAAAAACTTACTTTCGAATCATCAGTTTTGCCATCACCAAGAGCACCGTAGTCAAGCACATTAAAAGTTGTCAGGCCACGCCCAATACTAAAATTGGACGAAGCAATGCAAAGTATTAGAAAGCCAATTACAAGTGCATTTCTCATGATTAAGGCACCTAAAAAAATGTGACTAAATCGTAATAACAGAATTGTAGACATGTTAATGTGGATAGTAAATATAAAATGCGAACCATATATAAACACACATATGAGACTACGAGATGAAAAGATCTAAGCGTTGTTTTTTTATTTATGAATTTAGATTTACCTTCATCAATTGCAATGTTCTTTTATATATGAATTTTCATTTATTTTCAGTATACAGATACAATTACCATATAGTAATTAGCGTGCAGTCCCTTCATTTTGTTTCATTCATTTCCTTTTTTGAAACTCACTTTATATGTAAAAGTATTCAAACCACGTATCAAGGTTCCATCTCAACAAGTTAATAATCCTTTTCATTTAGGTTATTGCAGTAGTAGTGAGCATAATAATTAGTAACTGGCCTGCATGAGCAAGTTCTGAATTTGATTTCTACGTTGAATATCTATGAAAAGACGTACGTATAAATTATACACTTGGAGACAATGTACCTTGGAATGCAATTGTAAGCCAAATGTTTATTTTCATTCGTTGTCATATAAATTTGAGTAAATTCTATTTGGATACACGTACAAATCAAATTGTTAGCTAACTCCCTAATAAAAGTGTCTCGTATATATAAAACGGTAGAATCCGACTCTACTAAAGGGTTGTGTCAGTAATGTGGTCAGTTCTTTTTAATTAAATAGCACATAGGATTACTATATTTTAAGATGATATTTGTCACTTAGTACTATGGTCTAGTGACATTCCGCTTCATTTGTAAATGAGAGGTCTTAGATTCGATTCTCGCCAAAGGGGAGTTTGAACCACATTAGCTAGCTCATTGTGATGTTAAGCCCACACCCTCCCCATTTGTGTAGATAATATCGTTTGTTAAAAAATGATGATATTTGGGAAAGGGAGGATCTAAGCATAGCCACAAAGTCAGTTATAATTAGGTGATGAGTTATTATTTATAGGAGTCAAACTTGATATTATGCGTTAAATAAAAAAGGAATATGACTAGAATACTCTACATATTGGAAATAAAATAGGGAGTAAGAGAGCATAGAGAGAATAAAGAGAAAATGGAGGAGAAATCAAGGTCTATTTTCTTCGTTTATTAATTTTTGAACAAACGATATTATCTACACTAAGGGGTGAGGGAGTGGGCTAAGCCTCACAATGGGCCAACCATAATAATGTGGTTTCAATTCGTCTTTGGCGAGAATTGAACCTAAAACCTCTCACTTACAAGTGAAGAGGAATACTACTAGACCGTAGTACTAAGTGGAGTATTTCCTTCTTATTAGAGTGCCTATTTAGAGACTTAGGATTTATATAGGAAATATATCAACCATTTGCATATTACATATTGGCCCAAAATGTGAACAACTACATAATAAATATTATTTATCTCTCTCACTTGAATGTTCACCAATCAATTATAGCTATGTCGATTAAACCTTGCTTGGAAAACCTAATGGGAAAAAACCTAATTAAGGGCAGGAGAAAAATCGAGCACCACGATAATGAAATATTGATATGGTGTTGGAAGCACATAATGTTGCCTTACTAAAACCTTGACATGAAAAACCCAATGGGATAAAAACTGGTAGAAGGGAAAAGAGCACAATGTGCTTATATGTCCCTTATAGCATATTGTTGAAGACTCCCCCTGATGAATAACTCTACTAAATAAGTGACTCCCCTTGATGATAGTATGCCTTGATTTGATTGGTCATCGTTGTCAAGTTTGAAGTAATGTGACTTCACTCTTCAAGAAATTAAGCTTGACTAGAATTTGATCTGGGAATTATGAAAGTTTATCAAGAGTTGACAACAGTCGTTTGTGTTCCTGCAAAGAAAAAATAGATACAAAATCTAGGATATATAATACACTAGGAGTAGTATAAAACTCCTGTTGGAGAGTTGACTTTTTTGTAATTAGTTTAGTTAGCTATTTGAGTCTTTGTAATCAGATTGTAATTAGGTTATTTAATGTTTCTTTCCTTGTAAATCACTCTTGTACATTATATATTTTCCTCCTTGGTGAGAAGAATGATATCAGGAAATTAAACCCCAAAATAAGTCCTAGTTAGCATGGTATCAGAGCAGAGATCCTAGGATTTCTGCTATGCCCGTTCCCTCAAGTAAACTCGACCCTCCCATGGAAAACCTACCCTAACCAACCCTAATCCTACCCTACCTATACCGTAAGTTGTTATACAGATTGTCCATCATGATTCGTTTACTACTTCGATTGGCATCAAAATCAATGGTGCCAATTATGGAGTTTGGTTTCAAATTATTGAGATGTTTGTTGTTGGAAAAGACAAGTTAGGCTACTTGTTTGGGAGTAATCCCCAACCACCTATCGACGATCCGGCCTTCACCAAATGGCGTACGGAGAACGCTATTATGAAGGGTTGGCTCATCAACTCTATGGAACCCAATTTGATTGGGTACTCTATTCAACTACCGACGACAAAGGAAGTGTGGGATGTAGTTGCTCGCACGTATTATGACAGCTCCGATATATCTCAAGTCTATGATCTTACCTGCAAGGCCTCTCGCATGAGGCAAGATGGACGACCGATAGAGACATACTATAGTGATCTTCAATCTTTGTGGCAGGAGATTGATTATCATCGACCTAATCCCATGAAGTGCGGTACTGATATTGAAATTTTTAATAAAATTGTTCAAACGGATCGTGTGTACACTTTGCTTGCAGGATTGGATAAGATGTTTGGTAAAATTCATAGTGATATTCTACGAACTGAGTCCCTTCCTTCCGTCGAACAAACTTTTGCCTATGTTCACTAGGAGGGAATGTGACAAGTTGTGATGAATACCGGAGGACAGCTGCCAAGTGGGGCAGCCATAGTGGCTCGGCCTGCCACATGAGCCATAGCTCCACCTCGTCCTCGCGCCCCTGATAAGTCACCTGTACCGAGCCCAGGACTGCAACCCCAGGCTACTGCCCCGAGCCCTGCACAAGGCATACTTTTGGCTGCTAAGACGGCCTCATGGCCCACCACAAGTCTCTATCCTCCTCGTCCTAAACCACTCGTCCCTGCTGATAATTGCTTCTAATTGCATGGCTATCTTGACTGGTGGGAACCGTTTAAGCTTCAGAAACAACAGGAACGAGACGAGCAAGCCAATATCGCCACCTTCATGTCCCAATTATCTTTGATATCTCAAGATGATCCTCCTACAGTTTCAAATTCTTCCGACATGTCTCCGGAGTCCTCAGGTAACTGTGGTTATGCTTTTAATATGAATAGTGATGCTACTCCATCCGGATGGATCATTAACTCATGTGCCAAAGACCATATGACTTATGATCCCACTAATTTAGCTTGTGATACTGTTCCACTTCGATGTAATATTACTAATGCTAATGGAGTCACCTCACCGGTAACTTGTGTTGGCACCGTGCACCTCACGCCCACTCTCTCTTTGCCTCATACATTACTTGTACCTTCACTAAAGCATAAATTGATGTTTCTTGGCTAAGCCACTGAATAATTGAACTGTTGTGTGCTAATGTATCCAAAGTTTTGTCTTATACAAAATATTCTCACAAAGGAGATAATTGGTCGTGGTACTAAAAGGAAGGATCTCTATTTTGTGGATGATGTCAGTACAGGACGGGTCAATCTCACCCAAGAAGCCGTTGATCACAAAAGGCGTCAGATATGGTTATGGCATCACCGTTTGGGTCATCCATCTTTTAGTTATTTGCAGCATATGTTTCCTGATTTATTTGTTGGTTGTTTAGTTTCAGACTTTAAATGTGACACTTGCATACTCGCCAAGAGTCACCGTGTTTCTTATCCGCTGAATTCTAATAAAAATGTTATTTCTTTTGGCATCTCCGATTACTACTTCATCTGGTATTCGATGGTTTGCAATATTCATAGATGATTGCACACGGATGACATGGTTATATCTTCTTAAGCATAAAAGTGATGTTTTTTCAGCTTTTAAGACCTTCCACGCCATGGTTCAGACACAATTTTCTACTAAAATACGGATTTTACGTTCTGATAATGGTGGTGAATATGTTAATAATGATTTTTCCCATTATTTAACTAATCACGGAATTCTTCACAAAACTATTTGTCCTCAGACTCCTCAACAGAATGAGGTGGCTGGGCGCAAAAATCGTCATCTCTTAGAAACAGCTCGTTCACTCTTGATTGGGGTGTCTGCTCCCCACTCTTCTTGGGATGTTTCTCTTCAATCCACCACTTATCTTATCAACCATCTGCCATCCAAAGTCTTGGATTTTCTTACTCCCTTACAAGTCCTTGTTACCTTTGTGCATCTACTGTCGGTTTTGGTACTTCCACCTCGGGTTTTTGGATGTGTTGCATTTGTTCATCTTCATAAAAATCAACGGATGAAACTTGAACCGTGTGTTCTCCATTGTATTTTTATGGGGTACGGACTCCATCAGAAAGGGTACCATTATTACCACCCTTCTTCCCATCGAATGTATGTTACTATGGATGTCACTTTTTTCGAGTATGAGATGTATTACCCTTCAGATTATTCCAATATTCCTCCTCAGGGGGAGACATGGCATAACGAGGAGGATTGGACCATGAGTGGTACTGTTGATCTTTCGCTGCCACTAGCCGAGCTTATAGCGGTTGCGCTGCCAGCCCAGCCAACAACAGCCGTAGTGCTGCCCATAAAATCAACGGCAGGCACGGCAATGCCGTCCTCACCCAAGCACCAGTACTGCCACTTGTCAACTTTGAGACTTCTACTGATACTACTCCCCCCTCATCTCCAAATATAGTACCACCAGATGACCATACTCCTGAGAATATTCATGAGGTAAGCTCTACTATCCTTGTTGATGATACCGTTGTTCCGAATTATCAATTACCTTTCAGGCACAACCGGGGAAAACCACCTAATCGATATTCACTGGACACAACGAAAGGCTCTAAATACCCCATTGCCAACTATGTGTCATCACAGAGGTTATCAGAACC